ACAAAATAAAAAGAAAAATTACAAACAAATTAAAAATAAAAATGTCGGAAAAAATAAAAATGTCAAAAAAATAAAAGCGTCAAAAAAATAAAAATGTCAGAAAAATTAAAATTACAAAAAAATATCAAAAAAATTAATTTTTTAACAATTTTCGAAAGTTTTGCAAAACTCTAAATTTCACAATTTGCTGAGTTCTACATTTTGATGAGATATGGTGATCGCCGAAATGACAGCTATAACTTCTACGAAAATGTAAAATAGTGTTGCTTTTCCGCCGTAATTCTCATTAAATAAAATTATAGTTTAAGAAACTAAAACCTCGCTATTATAATTTCCATTCGTACCGTCATCAGGTATGTAACTTGAGAATAGAAACCGCCCCAGGCTCAATAAAATTTTTCGATATAAATTATTATAGGACGTAAGAACTATTACCGTTAAAAATATGGTGCTAGTTTCGTTTTAAATGTGATATTTAGGACTATAAAGCAAAAATATATATAAAACAGCTCGAAAAATACAAGAAAACTGAATTTTTGAATTAAGAAATCGTAAAAGCAAAAACTTTTGGCTCAAATTTTTTACAAAATACCTCCAACTGATCNAAATAAAATATTTTTTTCCAAACTCTAAATAAAGTTGTGTCAAACATAAACACTTTATATGTAATTTGAGTTTATTTTTGTTTAATAATATGAAAAAAAAATTGTTTCAAGGTTCTAAAATTCGTATCTGTTCAAAAACAGCTGGGAAATTCCGGGATCTTTTAAGATCAGCTAGGGGTATTGTATAAAAAAAAAGTTTGCAAAATATTTATTTTTGCTTTTACGATTTATTTTTTTAATTTCAAAATTCTGCAACTATTTTCATTTTTAAAATTTTTTTTTGCACTTTTCACAAAAATGAGATTCTAATATAAAAATCCACCTAAGACTTGACTGTCATCGGTGATATTAATGCCGACCTTATAAATACAGCTGCCACTGATATTCTGTATGGTGTAATTTTTTTTTTTAATTTGGTGGCACACCCTTGAAATTTCACAGGTATGTTGTATATGACGTCAACTTTCATTGTCTCTAACATGAACATTCTATTTGAAAACTTCCCAAAGTTATTTAAAAAAAAATTGATTTTTTCGGGTGGCAATGAAAATATGGGTAATTTCATTACCTTTTCGCCTAAATAGACGTTTTAAGGCTAAAATTATGGAAATAATTGATTTATTTTTTATTGTACTTGTTTCTCTATCGTTTTGTTTTCTAGCGATAAAAGGGAATGACACCAAAAAAAAACTCGAGAGATTTTGTAATTTTTTTTTATAAAAATATTTTCCCAGTTTTAACCAAAACGATATCATTACAATATTGTTATTGAGCTTTGTACCACGATTATGTCTAGAGGGTAGAAGTCATAGCTGATTCAGAAACATTCAACAAATTTTTACTTAATCTGAACCTTTTTCATATTTTTGTTCCGTACAATTTTAAGATAATAAAGTGCACATTTTAAGAACCAAGTTTTATTTTTTTTTTGCTCATACGATTTGGTTTTTTCTCCATATTTTTGAATTTCTTATGAATTGCACTTTTTATATAAAAAAAAAAACGCAAAGGCAGTCACCAAAAGAAAAAAATTATTAAAAATCTACGTGATTTTTTAGCCGCTTAAAAGTTGTACTTCATTAGACTAAAATTGTATGGGCTAAATAACAAACATTCTCAAAAAATTTCTAAAACTTCAAAATTGTGAAGTTCTTATAAAAATTTTTGGAAATTTCCTAAATTTAAAAAATATAAATATATTTTATATAAAATATAAATATAAATAAATAAAAATGTAAATATATTTTTTCTTGAAAAACCTGCTACAAGAATTTGTCACCGATAGTTAGTTTTATATGGTTTTGCTTAAAACTTGGGCAATATTTTTATAGAAAAATAACAACAACAAAAATGTTACACGAAAAACACTGTCAATGTTTATAAAAAAGACAACACGTGACACTTTTTTGAGTCACTGTATATGTATTTATAGCATTCGCCATCTCTCTTGGCCAACATTTTGTGGTGATAATTCATTATTTACTACTCTACATACATAGTACTAGTTGGCTTACCTCAATGTCTTGTTGTGTTGTTGGTGAATGGACATGCACAAATAATTGCTCATCCGTTGGCAGTTCATGCAGTATCTTAACCTTGTATTGCAAGGAGCCGTGCGCTTTTACTTGTTGTATGACTTGCAAATATTTGGCATCAGATGCTTTTACCTGCAAATGGAAAATTAAATGGGAAAATTGTTAATATAAACTAGAGTGAAAATCAATTGATTTTATGATGTAACAAATAATTATATTCATATGAGTGAGTACTATTGTGAGTGAAGGAGACATACATACATACATACATATGCACGTGTTGTGTTTTGATGGGCAGATGCAAATGTTGATCCAAATCTGTCAACAATTAATATTGCGCAAAGAACTGTGTAAATGAGTGAAAACTGATTGAGGTCAGACAACACGAAGTTAATGAGAAAATTAGAAATACCAAAACTAATTTCCACTTAAAAGATAGATATCAACACAAACAACAAGAATTTGTTGTTGCACTTTTGTAATTAATATGCTGTGCATTATTTAGGAATTTCGATTAACCGACAACATTTTGTATTGGGAAATTATGTTGCAAGTCAACTTCACTGGAGTATTTAGACATGAATGTTGATCTATGAGTACAGTGTACGATGAAAGTAAATATACCGCAAATCGGAAGCTCGGCTATATCTATATAGCCAAACAAATTAGCGATTCCCAAACCAACATAATGTTGAGCATGCAGCTCCTAGTCAACCGCTACCGGCGCGCGCACCCCAACAGGAACTTGTTAGAACAAGAACCTCCGCCATATCCAACCAAGAACTGAAGGACAAGGACAGGACACAGCTACGTATAACAATACATACAGGCAATCAATGACATTTATCGATAGACAATCACCAATTTCACAAAAATTACTACCCTGTGAATGTCATCATTGAAGTTGAAGCACCAGAGCTGCAGGTATCTCGAGATACCCGCGTTACTCTGGCACAATTACGGCCTACATATTATGGCGGTTTAAATTTCTACGTATTTCGCGCATGTGAAAGCTACCCGCATGAGAGAAATTACGTCTTCCCTTTTGGCCCGACCCGGACGACAACGATTGAAGGATTAGGTGAACTACTATAAAAAAACAAGCGGCAACCTCGGATCAGGCATAGAAGGATGCGGCCATAATATATTAACATGCTCTGGATTTTTTTTTTTGTTAATTTTTGATTTCATCTTTTCCGCAATTAACGAAATTCACAAGATGCTAATAAGTTAGCTTATTGACGACACAAATTATTGTCCCGCTGCAACCCTTTTTAATTACTTCTTAGCGACGCTTCCTCCCTTTTTTTTAAAGGTAATATGGTAAAAGTATGTTCACATGTAAATATAATCTCAATCAAAGCTCGTTTGTTAATCATCCCATTTACACAGGCAAATCTCAGATTATTAGCTGTCAAATTTGCTGTGCTTTTTATTCTCACATCTCAAGGAAAAGTTAAGTGTCTTTTCTGTGCCACCGTGATCACTTTTTTCTGCTAAATTAAGCAATTTAAATATATTTTAGCTTAATATTTGTTTAAAAATACCTTTTCTTGCTAGCGTCCATTTTCGTTTACTTTTTCATTTGGCGTTTTTTCTCTTCGCAAAAATAATCCATAAAACTAGGTTGGACACCGAAAAGGTATCGGTTTGATCCGAGATTATTTTATAATTACAGACTAACGAGGGACGAATTTGGTATGGCTAATCTCTTTTTCTCCTTTTAAGCTCGAAAATGAGGATAATCTACTTATGTGTAAACCTAGCATAAGGGTGTTCCTCTGGATATGCGATTACAGATACCCGACTATACCCAATACCAACTCCTACTTCTACAATTTGAGTAACATTAGCAACCAGCGCACAGCTTCGGATCACACCAGAAAGAGAAGGAGCTTCGGTGTAGTCACTCCGGCTTATTCGTTTTAACGCCTCACACAAGTCAGCAGCGCTTGATCGGCAATAAGTGCGACCGAAGAGTAAGGTAAATTCAAAAAGCGATTTTATGAGCCCCTGTGAGATACGTATGAGCGCTGTCCCCGGTCACTATGATAAAATCGTGTTTGGCGAAGGTGAACAGAGAAGGCGCATTTGATCCAACAGTCAACGCCTGTAGCATACCAGCCCATCGTGCAGCTAATGGCCACGCCTTGAAAAAAATAACAACAGCAGAAAGAAGTGAGTGCAAAGATTTCAAACTGCTTGCAGACAAGGATGCGGCGCTAATATTCTATAAGAATATATGGCAGCAATCAAATAATTTCGAGCTGCTGTCGTGCTGCTTCGATAATGGGACGATGATGGAAATCTGAATTCAGAAGTCCAAACTACACTTGAGATATGGAGGTAACACACCGCGAGATAAGAATTTGAATTTTACATGTTTCCTTAAAAAAAAAAANGTGTTCCTCTGGATATGCGATTACAGATACGCGACTATACTCAATACCAACTCCTACTTCTACAATTTGAGTAACATTAGCAACCAGCGCACAGATTCGGATCACACCAGAAAGAGAAGGAGCTTCGGTGTAGTCACTCCGGCTTATTCGGTTTAACGCCTCACACAAGTCAGCAGCGCTTGATCGGCAATAAGTGCGACCGAAGAATAAGGTAAATTCAACAAGTAAGAAAGTCTAAGTTCGGGCGGAGCCGAACATTAAATACCCGGCGCAAGTATTAAATATATGATTTATTTTGGAACGAATTTCCGTCATCCCTTGTCAAGTTTGGTTTGCAGACAAACCGGTTTCGGCGTTGTGCCATCTTCAGTGTCATTTTTCGTTCTGTCTGGTTCGAGATTTGTCCCTAATTTATGTTCATTTATCTTAGGTAATGTGATTTTCGTCGATGTTACCTAAGATAAATGAACATAAATTAGGGACAAATCTCGAACCAGACAGAACGAAAAATGACACTGAAGATGGCACAACGCCGAAACCGGTTTGTCTGCAAACCAAACTTGACAAGGGATGACGGAAATTCGTTCCAAAATAAATCATNTTATAATACCCTTGTGCACAAGTGCGCTCGGGTATAAAAAGCGATTTTATGAGCCCCTGTGAGATACGTATGAGCGCTGTCCCCGGTTACTATGATAAAATCGTGTTTGGCGAAGGTGAACAGAGAAGGCGCATTTGATCCAACAGTCAACACCTGTAGCATACCAGCCCATCGTGCAGCTAATGGCCACGCCTTAAAAAAAAATAACAACAGCAGAATTAAGTGAGTGCAAAGATTTCAAGCTGCTTGCAGACAAGGATGCGGCGCTAATATTCTATAAGAATATAAGGCAGCAATCAAATGATTTCGAGCTGCTATCGTGCTGCTTCGATAATGGGACGATGATGGAAATCTGAATTCAGAAGTCCAAACTACACTTGAGATATGGAGGTAATACACCGCGAGATAAGAATTTGAATTTTACATGTTTCCTTAAAAAAAAAAAAACATCATATAAACCAACTTTCATTGACGCGTCAATAATCCCATAATTCGACGAAGCCAAATACCTGGGTATTGCACTCGACGCCAAATTGCACTAGAAATCTCACGTCAAGAAAAACGAGATGAGCTTGATTTTAAATTAAACAAATTATATTACCTCAGTGGTAAGCGCTTAAGATTGTCAATACACAACAAAATTCTCGTGTGCTTCGAGGCATAGTAAGAAACACCGATCTACATCGAGATCTTGGCATTTCAACTGTCACTGAAGTGACGAAACAATTCGCCATAGCTCACAAACAGCGACTACAGAATCACGTCAACGTGGCAGCATCCAGCTTACTTCGGCTGAATACTACTCAAAGCCGGCTAAAGCGCACAACAGTAGCAGAACTTATGCGAAGCGAGTAGCAGATTTTTTTTTTACTTATATGTGCTTTCAGCATGTATTTAAAATATAAAATGCTTTTGCCTTTAAACTAAAATTATTAAATTAAAATTACTTGTTAATATTAATATTTATATGCTAGTCGCAGTATTGAGACGTTTCTGTAAATTGTCTAAGTTTCGTTAACAATAATAACAAAAAAAAAAAAAAAAAAAAAAAAAAAAAAAAAAAAAAAAATTNCCGAAATTCCAAATAATGTTACTTATTTTCAAGGGATTGTTGGTAGTATCAAGTTTGAGTAAATTAGTGTCCTTAAATTTCGAAATATGTATAGAAGTTTCAAGCATTTCTGAGATTTATCGTTATATGAAAAGTGGGCGTAATTTTAGATCGATTTCAATAACCGAGTATGGTGCAAATTGTAGAACGGTAACCGAGATACCTACATATATGTGATCATAAGTGGGCGGTGACACGCCCATTCTCCAAAATTTTACCATAAACGTATTTCTTGGTAAACAATTATTGCAAGCATCAATTTTGAATAAATTAGCTTTAGTATTTACTAATTTATCGAAGATTTCATATTTCTCTAAATTACCGTTATGCGGGATGTGGTCACCGCTTAATCGATTTCTCATTTCATTCTGATAATTTATGTATACATTTGTCTGTATCTTTTACGATTCGTTTTGTAAAAATGTAAAGACTGTGTGGATCCAGGCTTTGCAAATCAACCACTCACCAGTTTAAATATGGGCAGTAAAGCGTTAAGATTGATCACAAAATATACCTCCATCGAAATTGGGAAGAGCAAGATTTTGCTGACGCATTTTCGTGCGTCTTCTTCAATCTGATACTGAAAAGCTGACTATATGAAACGCAGAAACCGAGTGGTCTAGAAGTGAACGGGGGGCAAGACAAAGTACCTCCAGGCAACAAAGGATCTTCGTGTATTATAACACAATCTGCACTATTGGCAGTTATTAGTTTGAAGAACTTTGTTTACCTAGCCATCCAGCATTGACAGCACCAATTATGTCAGCCTGGAGATCAATCGAAGAATAACTCTTGTTAATAAGCGCAACTTTAGACTCGGTGGGCAATTGAAAAGCAAATCCCTCTATTGATGAACTAAAGTAAGTCGCTACAAATCTCATATTATGACCGTCTTTCTAAAAGACGCAGACACGTAGACAATTTCGAAAAAAGATTAGAAGATTTTAGGGGCCTTCGAGAGAACTATTCTACACAAGATCTATAGCAACATTCATTTGGACCACGTCTACGCATATGG